TGACTCAGTCTGTCCTATTTACCACTAGATGGGGAGAGAAGATTTAGAGTCATATCTTTGTAAATGAAATATAATGGACTCGGCTGGTAATCGAACTCTCCGATTCCTCAATCCAAGCCACAATTAATCCATTACTCTACCGTTCCCCCACTAATAGAATATATGTGATATATATAATGGACTCTCCGGTCGGTTTTGACGTATGAGGATCTGAGAACTTAACCATTTGATTCAGTTATTAAATTTGTGCGATAACCTTAAGTAGCAGTTAAGACCCGCTCGCGATTTACAAAGGAAGCCGCATATAGAGCAAGGGTGAGGATTGTGGGATGAGATAACTGTTAGATTGGCTGACCTTTTAGATCTTGCTCTCGCTTCCTGAAGACGATTCAAGCTAGCAGATTGAAAACTGCTGAGTCCACTTAAACACGTTGATCTCCACTCTACACGTCCCAAGGCTAAGCGCTCGAGAGTGTTATTAGGTATATTGACAGCTGCCAAGTTTCTCTTCGGCTGTCTTTGTATCTAAGCCATGAGCGTCCTACATTCCTGTAGCCCTGATCTAACTGGCAGTACATTAGGATTTTGGGTATATATATATATATATATATATATATATATATATATATATATATATATATGAACCCCGTATTTAAAAAAATGAAAATTACTCATACGAGATGAAAACCTACATTACGTAGTGCAGGTTATTTTTCTCTCATTTAGATCCGAGATTTTCTTTACCCCCACTGAGCCAGGTTGTGACAGAAGGTCGGTTTTCAACGTGGGCACCCGAGTGGCCTAAGCTGGTCTTAGCTGGCCATATCTCGTCTAAGCTGGCCATAGCCGGTCATACCACCGCTACGTAACATATATCATGCAACGGTGGTGGGAACGCAACGGAGTGAAGAAGGATTTCGGTACGGAACAGATACTACTTTCAACCCGACGTGAAAACCCCTTGCTCTTACTCCTCTGCCAATCCCTCCGAAAAAATCCGGGAAGAGAGAACCCTTGTCTAATTAGGACCCGCTAAGTAAGTATGCTTAAGTATGCTTAATACTCAGCGGACGTATTTAGAAAAAAATTAGGAAGCGAGAAACACTGCGCAACTACACGAATAAACTCGTTGTTTAGTTGGTTGATTTTGTTTAGTGGCATATCAACATCTCTATATGTTATTTAATGCCGACATTTGAATAATTTGAAAACAATTTTAGGGTTTCAGCTACCGATAAAATATGCTGTTGACCATTTTTCTATAAAGTTTATTGTTGATCATATTTAATATAATTAGTTATTGTTGCGCGTGGCCGAGTGGTTAGAACGTCCGCTATCTGATCATGAGACCCAGGTTCGAATCTCACCATGGTCGATTTGTCAGAGGAGGCGATCCGAGTGCCTGAAAAACATACCAGGGTTTGACCCAAGCCTTTTGAGTGGATCTGGTTAGACGGAACACTTGGTGCCGTCGATGTCACAAGTTATCTTGACCGAAGCTGGCTTTGCTCAGATTGTTGATCACAGAAAATACGCTCTCTGCCAGAAACTGTAACTAAGGTCTGCTCAGTATAGTTGCAGCATGAATCACAGGTGGGCTCTGTGGGCGTTGAAAAAAATGAGACTGAGCAAGCATCTGCAATAGGGATTTGATAGATACCCCCGCCCCAGTAGACGGGTATCCTCGAATACGATTGATTAACGATTATCGAGTTATTGTTGCTAATTTCAATTACACAAAAAGATGGCCCTCTCAAAGACCTAGAGTCTTCATTCGCTTGAAGTCAATTTCAGCCATTATACAGCTGACAGTTTAGTTATTTCTGGGCAAGTTTGGCATCCATGTGAAAGTCTAGATCTGAAGAAACTATTCAAGGTACTTTCTTGGTTGATTTTGTTTTATGGCATATCAAAACCTCTATGATTTATTTAATGCCGACTTCTAAATATTTTGAACACAATTTTATTACTTCAACTAAATATATTTTGAACGCAACTGTATGTCTTCAGCTACAGATAAAATGCAATTCTGCTATGAAAATATATATTGTCGGTATTTTTTTTATAAAAAAATATATTGATAGTATTTTTACCATAAAAGTGTATTTTTATACTTTCATAGTGTTTGGTCTTTATTTGGGAATTCACTGTTTGCCCATAGCTGGGGTACAAATAGCTGCTACCACTACGGGTGAGGGTTGTCCTGGAAACAACGGCAATTAAGAGGTGGTTCCACGCTCCGCAAAACCTCCAATCTCCCGATCACAGGCCTTGCGGCTGGGTGTAGTTTAATAAGCTTGTACGAATGGATGGTAAAACAAAAGCCATGACTGATGGTGAATCTTCAATGGTTGCTTCGAACTAAAGCAAGGCAGGAACTTGCGAAGACCCATGATCCTTCACATCTTGAAAGGACACGTCGCATATAGCACAGGTACAAAAATTTAAATATCTAAAAAGTGCATTAACAGAGGGCGTAACATTCGTTGCCGAAATCCGAAGGCGTATTAGAACAGGGAAATGCAGCTTCCATAATCTAAGCAAAATATTAACAGAATGTAAAATCTATTTAGAAACAAAGGAAAGAGCACTAAACTGATACGTAATATCGACCCTTTTGTATAGCAGTGAATGCTAGACAATCTTATCACAGATGGGGAAGAGTTTAGGGGCAACAGATATGTGGTTCTAAAGAAAGATTGTGAGAATAAAATAGAACTGTTTTAAGGATAAATTTGAAATTCGTAGGGCACATAAAAAGAAAAAAAGGAGGTTGGTCGATTTGACACTCTTGGGCCATTTTTATGGCAAGGAGAATAGAAGAAAGCACCTACATAACAAACTTGGAAACATTATTAAGCTTTACATTATACATTATAAAGCTAAACAGAGGCCAGGAAGTTGTGGAGAGCAATGATCACCTAGGCCTTGAAGGGCATCAGCGCATAGAAGAAGAAGAAGAAGAAGAAGAAGAAGAACGTCATTTGAATTTTATAACCATTATGAATACATATTTTAATAGTCTAGGGATATTTCACAAAACAATTAAAATCCCCACAATGTAAATTTCGCACCAAATATTTTTTCCAATAAAATTTGAAAAAATTAAAGTTACAATAAAATTACTACAATTTCAAATAAAATAAAACTTTTAGTTAATCCAAGGGGAAAAAAAAATTCTGTTATCTATATAACCGCTCCAAATCGCAGACTGCAGTCGCATGGCTACTAGGCCTTAAATACCGTGTGCGATGGTTAAATTGTCGTCACTTATTTTTTTTTTAAATTTCGCAGGTGCGCGTTGTTTGATTTTGATGTTATCGACAGCACAATATAGTAGGGTCAGTCGGGTACGTTCTGTGAGAAAAAGACCACCATGACGTAATTCATTCCACCAGAAATTTGGAAATGGCTTGCTGTACTGCTTAACATTTGCACCAGAATACGAACATTTCAGAGTGTTTGGGTGTCAATTTGAGGAGAGTGCAGAGGATTCGGAAACAGTTGGATGAGTCTAAACGTGATTACGAAGGTACAATCGATCGGACGACCCATTCTGATCGTTCTGATAAAAAACAAACTCCCGAATTTGTTAATGAGGGCCTTAGACTCACTACAGAGGCCTATATCAAGTGCCTTGAGGATGTAGTGCTACACTGAGGGTGGCTGCTCGAAGACCCTATGTCTGGCAACAGGACTTACACAATGCCACCCAAGCAGGGGAAATCAGTCATGACGGTCGGGCAATTTCTGCGACCACATAAGTCCTTACATATGGCCACCTAACTCCCCAGACTGCAACCCCCTTGATTATTATATGTGGGGCGCAAGACCAACAAAACTCCTTGTAACACCAAAGATAAACTGAAGGCAAGGATTATAGAAGCATTCACCAACTTAAACAAGAAGACCGTCCAGAAGAGTTGCAGAAGATTCCGAAGTCCTCTGAAGTCCGTGGTTGAAGCCAATGACGATTCATTAGTATTCCAAGATATGTTTCTGTAATTCTGGTAAATATATCTGTTAAAATGAGATGTCAGTGTTATTTTCATTTTTTGCATCATGCAGACGACAATTTATCCATCAAACCCTTCATATATATCACTATTTTTCTTCCTATATGACTGTGTGAAAGAATATAAGAACATTGTTAAAGAGCGAGAAATTAAAAGAATAAGTACTAAGAAGACAGAAGATAACGACTGGTATTGTATTTAAATTTTTCAAGATCAAAGATGGCTGAAAATCAAGAAGCCATATGAGAGTTACCCAAACGAGGTTTGAGAGGAAAAAAAAACCTCTTAGTATAGAACTTACGCTTACATCTAGCCAATAAATAGATGAGATCTTGCCGCCATTCTAGTACTACAAAAAATATACAGAAAGTTTATCAGAATAACTGCCAAGAGAGTATTTTTAGAAATGACGCAGGGAAACCATGTTACGGCGGTAACGATCTGGTTGACCAAGACGAATATTAAGACGAGAAACATTGCCTAGAGCCACAAAGGATAGAAAGCTGTGGAGAGCTATGATCTTCCATGTCTTTATGGTACACGGGTCGTAAAAGAAAGGGAGGCCCCAAGCGTAGTGGCTCTGTAGCAAAGGGAACAAAATCCAACAAATGTCAATTATGTTAAAATTGTTTGATGGAAACGATTTTTATGATAAGTTAAACACCAAAAGTATTAATCTTTTGTGAGACATCACCGTGCCCAAAGCGAGATCATTGTTGTGCGCATGCGTACGTAAATGACGAAGGCAGATGTAGCCTTATCGCTGGTGCATCCTCCTGACCCTTAAATCATGTCCGAGCAGGCGCCATTTTGTGATCGTGCAAGGAATTTGAAAATGAGATATAACACGCATCTGATGAGTTAGCTGCAGACTCCATAAATCCTGGCTGCGATTGAAGACATCTTCCATCTTGTCATGGGTTGCCCATCCCTTTTCTCCGACACACCGCTGACGTTTATTCGAAACCTTTTCTTTCAAATCAGCTTTTCATTCTTTTGTTTTGGCCTCATCATTCTTTATTCATTCTTTATTCATTCATGTCCGAATGTTATTTTTAAGCTCTTGGCATTGTTCATTTGTCTTCCTTCCATTATTCTATCTTTTTTCTTTTTTCTACTTCCTTTGGATACTTTCTAATTTCTTTTTGCATTTGTCACTATCTATCTATCTATCTATCTATCACATCCTGTTCATATCTATCTATCTATCTATCTATCTATCTATCTATCTATCTATCTATCTATCTATCTATCTCATTCTGTTCATAATCCCATTCTATTCATATCTATCTAGCTATGGCCGTCAGTTAACATCTATCTATCTATCTATCTATCTATCTATCTATCTCATTCTGTTCATATCTATCTATCTATCTATCTATCTATCTATCTATCTATCTATCGCATTCTGTTCATGTCTGTCTATCTATCTATCTATCTATCTCATTCTGTTCATATCTATCTATCTATCTCATTCTGTTCATACTTATCTCATTCTATTCATATCTATCTATCTATGGCCGTCAGTTAACATCTATCTATCTATCTATCTATCTATCTATCTATCTATCTATCTCATTCTGTTCATATCTATCTATCTATCTATCTATCTATCTCATTCTGTTCATATCTATCTATCTATCTATCTATCTATCTATCTATCTATCTCATTCTGTTCATATCTATCTATCTATCTATCTATCTATCTATCTATCTATCTATCGCATTCTGTTCATGTCTATCTATCTATCTCATTCTGTTCATACCTACTCATTCTGTTCATATCTATCTATGGCCATCAGTTAACATCTATCTATCTATCTATCTATCTATCTATCTATCTATCTATCATAACATTCCTCCATCAATCTATCGCTACACAATTTTATATACAGGGTAAGACAGATAAATTGTCGCCATATTATACTTTTAAGAGTTGGAAGAGATTCCAAAGTCGTCCGGAAGCCAGGTTTGAAGCCAATAGCGATTTTATTGAAGAAATTTACTCTTTCGTATTTCCATATTTGTCTTTTGCAATTTTGGTGCATATATCTGTTGAAATATGATGCCAATATTATTTTCTTCTTTGCTGAATCTAGACGCCAATTTATCTATCTCACCATATATATATATATATATATATATATATATATATTGGGGGAAAATATATGACAAAGTGGAAAAATTCCGTGAGTGTGACGCGATTTGTCCTTTAGGACATCATCGAACTTAATTTGCCCCAAAATTTTTTATTGATATATATATATATATATATATATATATATATATATATATATATATATATATATCATTATCTCATATATATATATATATATATATATATATATATATATATCAGCTTATTCATACTTGTTTATTTTATCTTTCTCAGCCTATTCATCTGTATTTTTTTTGTATTTATTTTACTATTAATAATTAAATTGTTTTCTTTCCTTCTGTACAAATAATATTTTTTCTTTTTTTCTTTTTTCTTTTTTTCGTCTTCTTTTCCTTCCCCACTTGTTTTACTCATTTTTTTCTTTCAATTTTATTTTCCTCATTTGCATATATTTCATTCACGTCTTGTCTAATTACGATTCTGTTTTTTCTTTTTTCTTTTTCTTTTTTTTTCTTTTCACCTCTTCGGAAATTCTTCCCCTTCTTGTCTTCTTTTTCTCTTACTTTTTCATTGTTTTCTTTCTAATTCTTCATTCTTTGTCATTTATGTTACTTTACAATCTTCCTTGTGGCTCTTATAGTTCTTCTAGGTTGAGTTATAAATAATGTTCCTATTTATTCTTCCAAATTAAATGTGCCGTTATATTTTATTTAATTATATACTCACCATTTTTTGCCATTAATCCTTGCTACTTATCAGGCTGCTCTTGAAGAGCTTTTGAATGAAATCCCGCAGGTTTTGATGTGAAAGCTTTTCCAACCTTTTGAATCTAGTTTACATTAGAGAAAGTTTTTGTGATCGAAGTGTCTTACAGTGTTAAAATTCATTTCTTTTTTTCAATCTGGATAGTTTTTAGGCCCTGGAGGAAGGGATGAAGATAATAAAATAATTTACTGAAACCTGAATCTGGCCAACCTACGTTCAGCGCTCCTTGATAGAGTTGTGAAAAGGGGTCAATTGAAGTTGATGGAAAGGAAAAGATAATCAGAAATGTTTTTTCTAATACAATAAAATGTTTTACTAAACGTGATTTTTTTTTTTTACCAGTGGCCATTCGAAATCTAAAATACTTGTGTTGACCACTAAAAGTTTGTCTGGTCAATCGGAGACTACCTTTGGCTATAAAAGTCCCTGCAATATACGACCGCCAGAGTAGTGGGAGTTGGAACGGTGACGCCAGTACTAATAAACCCGACCATGAAGTGGGAGACGCTGAACAGTAATAGTAATAATAATAATGATCTTTGGATGCAAGGTAATAATAATAATAATAATAATAATAATAATAATAATAATAATAATAATCTTGAATGCGAGGTCATAATAATAATAATAATAATAATAATGATAATAATAATAATCATCTTAGAATGCCAGGAATAATAATAATAATAATAATAATAATAATAATAATAATAATCTTTTAAATGCCAGGTCATAATAATAATAATAATAATAATAATAATAATAATAATAATAATAATAATAATAATAATAATAATAATAATAATAATAATAATAATAATAATAGATAGAGTGGGGCAATACTTACACTGGACAATGTGCAAACACTTTGGAAAATGTGTAAGCAAACACTGGTATGAACATCGGCCAGCGCCGGTTACAGAAATAGAAGATGTCACCATTCTATGGGATTATACCATCCACACAGACAGAAAAATTGAAGCAAATAGGCCGGACATTATTGTCAAAAACCAGAAAGAAAAAAACTTGCCTACTAATTGATATGGCTTGTCCAGCGGATTGTAACATAGCAACCAAGGAATTTGAAAAACTATCAAAATACAAAGACCTGGAAATTGAAATAGAAAAATGTGAAATTGAAAACAAGAATAATACCAGTGGTAATAGGTGCACTTGGAATTATAAAAATGGAACAAAACAACACATTGAAAGAATCCCTGGAAACCCCAGCTTAAGAGACATACAGAAAATTGTCTTATTAAGTACAGCACACACACTAAGGAGAACTTTGTCTATGTAACGCTAGCAACTTCATCGGAGATAAAAAAAAAAAAAAAAAAAAAATTAACATGAAATGTGGCCATAACAACACACCACGACCTGCCTTAGGTCTTTCCGCAGACTTGGTAGGTAGTGTGTCCATAGCAGAAATCGAATGATGATGATGATGACAATAATAATAATAATAATAATAATCTTTGAATGCCAGGTCATAATAATAATAATAATAAAAACTATAGACCAATTACATGTCTTCCAACAACATACAAACTGTTAACATCTATTTTAACAAAACAGACATATTTCTTCTTGGAAAGAAATGACATACTACCACTTGAACAAAAAGGGTGCAAACGAGGCTGCTACGGATGTAAAGACCAATTACTTATTAATAGGATGATCCTGGAAAACTGCTTCCGTGAAAAAAAAAATCTTAGTATTGCCTGGATAGATTATCGTAAAGCATTCGATAGTGTACCACATTCCTGGATCTTAAAGTCTTTAAGTATGTACAAGGTATCACCCGTTATCATCAATTTCATCAAACAATGTATGTCGATATGGAAAACTACACTTTAACTTAATCATAAAAATGGAACCTATAAGTCTGGCGAAATAAACATCAATAGAGGAATATTCCAAGGTGACTCTTTGTCTCCTTTATTATTTTGCATATCACTTATAGCATTAACCAGCCAACTTAACAAGACAGAATGCGGTTACAAAATAGCTCAAAAGAAAATAAACCATCTATTTTACATGGATGATTTAAAATTGTATGCTAGGAATGACAATGAGCTGGAAGGTCTTCTGCAAACTGTAAAATGCTTCAGTGAAGACATCGGAATGAAATTCAATTTGGATAAATGTGCTAAAGCTACAGTTTTACGAGGATCGCTACAACAAACTTCCTCTATTAGTTTAGACCCTGCTGTAACAATAAAAGAATTAGAACAAGGAGAAGCTTATAAGTACCTAGGTGTAAATGAGAGTGAAGGAATTCACCATAAGAAAATGAAAGAAATAGTGCGTAAAGAGTACTATAGAAGGGTACGACTGGTATTAAAAAACTGAATTGAATTCTCAGAACAGAATTATGGCCATTAATAACCTTGCCATCCCAGTGGTCCAATATAGTTTCAACATCTTGAACTGGACTCTAAATGACATCAGACAAATGGATTCTAAAACAAGAAAGCTTCTTTCTAAGTATAAGATGCATCATCCAAAGGCTGATGTAGACCGTCTATACATACCCCGTAAAGAAGGTGGAAGAGGTCTTATTCAGCTAGAATTGTCATACAAGACAACAACTATTGGCTTACTAACTTACATGGAAACAACAAATGACTGGATGATAAAATTAGTGAAACAACATGAAAACAGAAAGAAAAAATATTCAATAATAAAAGAAGGCAGTAAATACAAACAACATTTACATTTAGTAGATTCTGTAGTAAATCAAAACAGAAGCCAAGAACCAACTATTGCAGCAAAAGATATGAAAAAGAAAGCCAAGGATAAAGCCCTTGAACAGATGAAACAACGCTGGCAAGACAAACCTCTGCATGGCCAATATCCAGAACGTGCAAATAAACCCAATGTTGATAAAGTTAATACTCATCGATGGTTACGAGCATCTGGATTAAAGTCTGAAACTGAAGGCTTTATTCTTGCAGCGCAAGACCAGAGTCTTTTCACTAGGAATTTTCAGGCAAATATCATACATAATAATGTGGATCCAAAATGCAGGTTCTGTGACAAATACCAAGAAACAATAGACCATCTAATCTCAGGATGTTCTATACTTGCCCCAAATGAATATAAAAATCGTCACGATAGAGTGGGGGCAATACTTACACTGGACAATGTGCAAACACTTTGGAAAATGTGTAAGCAAACACTGGTATGAACATCGGCCAGCGCCGGTTACAGAAATAGAAGATGTCACCATTCTATGGGATTATACCATCCACACAGACAGAAAAATTGAAGCAAATAGGCCGGACATCATTGTCAAAAACCAGAAAGAAAAAACTTGCCTACTAATTGATATAAACATCCAGCGGATTGTAACATAGCAACCAAGGAATTTGAAAACTATCAAAATACAAAGACCTGGAAATTGAAATAGAAAAAATGTGGAAATTGAAAACAAGAATAATACCAGTGGTAATAGGTGCACTTGGAATTATAAAAAATGGAACAAAACAACACATTGAAAGAATCCCTGGAAACCCCAGCTTAAGAGACATACAGAAAATTGTCTTATTAAGTACAGCACACACACTAAGGAGAACTTTGTCTATGTAACGCTAGCAACTTCATCGGAGATAAAAAAAAAAAAAAAAAAAAAAAAAATTAACATGAAATGTATTATAACAACACACCACGACCTGCCTTAGGTCTTTCCGCAGACTTGGTAGGTAGTGTGTCCATAGCAGAAATCGAATGATGATGATGATAATAATAATAATAATAATAATAATAATAATAATAATAATAAACTTTGGATTTAATGTAATATTATTAATATTAATAATAATAATATAAAAATATAATAATTTGGATGCAAGTCTGTAATAATAATAATAATAATAATAATAATAATAATAATAATAATAATTTTTGGATGCAAGGTGACAATAATAATAATGATGATCTAATAATAATAATAATAATAATCTTTAAGGTGAATATAAAGTGTCGGGGTAGAATAGATCACCCGATGTTCACATTTTTTGTCTGTTAGTCCAGCTATATGCGACCATGCGTTGTCATGAAGGGACGGTCAATATTTTTCCTTTAAAGCTACTGTCTGAATTGAAACTGGCCTTCACTCTCAAATGCAAGTGTATTTCAAATTTCCATTGAATTACTACTTCTATCTTGAGTGGCTCTTCAGCTTGTACAGATTGGACAGTATAAACAAATATTTACAAAACAAAAACATAAGATACGTCATTATATTTGATATATTTATAAATCTAACATTCGTCCTTGCTTTGAATATTCCTGTCACATCTGGTCTGGTGCTCTTGCTATATATTTAGTGATTCCCAAGAATCTGCAGTGTTATTGGCTCTGACCTTCTATCTCGTCTTCAGTCCATTTCCCATCGCCATAACGTAGTTTCCTTGGGCAATTCCTATGTGAGAACCAATTAGTACTACATAGAGACTTTTTTGCTATTATGGTGGCTCTTATAATTGTTTTGGTATCAGGAAAATTGTGTGTTATGTTCGGTTCTGTATTTGTGGCTAGCTAAATTTTAATATAAGACAGATTGAAGACTAACCTTCACCTATCCTCATTTTAGGCTTGTGCCACATTTTTTTTTATTATTCAAAATAAATATTACTTTCCTCTACGATACCTCGACTTTGATGAATTTAAACGCATTACTTGATTGGCGGCAAGGTCTCATCGTATTACAGTCGAATTGGTAATTTGTAACCGTCAGTTTCATGCTAACAGTTTCTTCTCTTGGACTTCTCGCTTATGGAAATTACTTCCGGGGTTTTGCTTCCCAGTCAAGTTTAATTTTCATAATTTTAAATACAATGTCCATCGTTATCTTCTGCCCTCTTAAATTCAGCCATTTTATTGTTCCTCTAACCTTAATAATGTTTTTCTTGTCTTCTTTCCCTGTCACTATCGTCTGCATGCTAGAGGCTTTATTGCCGTCCTTGGAGCAAATGATTCAAAATATTTTAGTGTATTCCAAAATTATAATTAACTGCTAATTTCTGTAACGTTATACCTCAGGTGGATTTTAGACTTTAAAAGGGATAAACATCAAGCTAAAAATAAAAATAAAAAATTGGTTCTTCGAAAGGGAAATTACTTTTGATCAGCCTAATTGATTTTGGACATTAAATAACATAACACACAGAAATCAACATTAACATTAAATGAAAGCTAAAAACAAAAAACAAAAAAAAAACATATAGAAAATATCTATCTCTGTCAACTTTCATTTTTCAAAGAATCTAATAGAAAATGTATTTGCAGTCAGAAAAAAAAGACAAGAAAACAAACAAAATCGTAAATTAACAAAGGATGTGTAAAATAAAACCAAGGCGCAGGTCTAATTAGAAATTACTTAATTGGTGTGTCGTAAAGGCATAAAATTTACCACACAGTCGAATATTTATACTTGGTCTATTTTCCTGTTGGCATTGTTCCAAAGAATTTCCGGCCAACAACAATTTGGCGCCAAAGGTCGATTAATTAACCCTTTTCGCTTTTGTCTTCCTACTTTCTCATTAGACATTCTTTGTTTCGATGGACATTACGCCCGGTTATCTCTTCGATTAGTCGAACGTATTTAAGTAGTCATAAATTTCGGAATGCACACACATGCATATATATATATATATATATATATACATATATATAGTGATAAATATATATATATATATATATATATATATATATATATATATATATATATATATATATATATATATTACGAAAATCAATGACGAAGAGAAAAAGTGCACAACTATATATATATGTTTATGTGTGTGTGTGTGTTAAAAATTAGGAAATCGGTTGAATTCGCTACATTGGTTTCAAATTTACGGTATCATAATTCGATTTTTATCAGTTGACATCCAAAGATTTATTTTTCTTTATATATATATATATATATATATATATATATATATATATATATATATATATATATATATATATATACTATACTGGTGTGCCATTTCATGGAATAGGCCCCGCCTCTCGATCTCAATTTAACTTTTGAAATTCCTACAACTGTCAAACTGGTAAAGTTACTGTAAATTATTCTAAGACTTCAGTTGCATTTTCAACTTATTTTTCATATATATATATATATATATATATATATATATATATATATATTATGATATGGATTAAATCTGACAATAAATTAATATATTTTCTATTTATGCGTTATTTTTTGATAGATACAATTTATTTAAAGAAATGGTTTGTTTGCTAAATAAAATTATATACTATTAATTTCAAGTACTATTTTTGTAGCAAAATTTCTCTTAATAATAATTTTAAAATAATTCCGCTGATGTTATTTTACTTAATTTATGCCTTTCTCAGTTTCCCTTTGTCCTATACAGTGTGTCTGAAAAAGAGAGTTGAGATCAAAGTGTAGTATTTATTGTTAAGAGTTTAATCTGATATCCTCTCTCTCTCTCTCTCTCTTTTACTTGTGATTTTGTTTGATAATAGTTTTTAATTTAATATAAATATATAGAAACCAAATATAATGTTTAAAATTTATTTGAGTATTTAATTGAAAATAAAGATACAAAAGTCATATAAATGTTTAAAATTTAATTTGTATTCTAATTTACAATGTAAGCTCGGTATAGTTAAGTAATTGTTTTGTTTGTATATGGTTTTTCTTCTTAAAGTGACTTTTATTTATGTAATATGTTGAATTTTATTGGAATATGTGATTTCATTCAAGATGTCATAAAGTTTGGATTGCTACATTCTGTCTATAATAGGTTTCCTAGCTTGTCGAGTTATATTTCCGTTCAAATTTGAATTTCCCATCTTCATTGGCTTAATCTGGTATCAACAACTTCTCATACTGTATTTTCCTCTCTTTCCATTTCATTTGTATCTGTAAAATTTGGATATATTTCTCTCCTTTTTTTCCCTTTCTTTTCTTTTCCTTCTCTTGGTAGAAGGGTTGATTTCTTTTTTATTTTCTTCTTTTTTTCTGCCTTTTCTTTTTATTGATTACTAGCAGCATGGCCCGGCGTTGCCCGTGCTTGATTCAAAAATCGTACAACTCATACAGCAATCGCTACCACTTGACTTAAAATATTTTTGCCCTTCCTTGCCTTTAAAGGAGTGCCCTTTGCCGTGCTGATGTTGCTACATGCCTTGCTTCTTGCCTATCTCACACTACGAATTTTCTAAGCTCTATACTAAACATTAAATCTCTTACGAAAAAAGAACTAAACAAAATGAACACAAAACGATCAGTTTTAAAAAAGGACTCGTAACTGGAAAAACCCAATGAAAAAAGAATGTTAACAACAAATACATTTTTACACCCAACCCAGTTCTGCGGAATCAGAATCAACGATGAGTTTAAGCAAGCGAATGAGCCAATTGGAGTAAAGTGCCATGCAGAATTAAATTTTTCCCACTTGTGACGAATGCAGCTATCGATTTTTTTGCATGCTAGCATGCTAGTTAACATTCATGTCAGTCAGCTGTTGGCTCTCACGCTGACCAATAAAATCTTCTTGCCTATTCGTGGCACCCAGCTATAGGCTCTCACTCTGGCCAGTAGAAAATGGCTGCAAACTACACGAAAACTGCCGTAGAAGCATGAAAAATTCGATTATTTCCACTATTGATGGGAGTTGGGAAATACAAAGTCGGTGTTGGCCATCACGCTAACTTGGAGCATGTGCATGTAAATTTTGGTGCAAATCCGTCGAAAATTGCGGCCGTGCATTCGTTACACACACACACACACACACACACACACACACACACACACACACACACACACACATATCCTGCCTTTTATAGATAGAGATTTAAATTTGCTTTTTTCTTTCTTTTCCTTTTATGGAATAAATAATTTTATATATATTTGTTTCTTTGGAAAATTTGTCAAAAATATAAAAACGATTTATAAATCGTATTTTAAAATAAAATAGTTTATTATCACCATTGTTGGCCGCCTGAGGAGACGTCTTTTGACATCGAAACAAATATGCATTTTTTTCGTTTTTTACACTCGTATATATATATATATATATATATATATATATATATATATATATATATATATATATATATATTTCTGGTTTTTAAATGACATGCCAAATATTGATAAACCGTAAAAACTCTTAATTAATCAATGAATGTACTGATTAGCTACATAGGCCTGTCTTTTACATTTATTTACATTCTGTGGTATATAAATGTATAGAAACTAAGGTGGCCACCAAGTGAGGGATAAATGTATATGCTCCTTGCAATATATAATTGACCCCCATTTTATACCCACATTATAATTTCATGTTTATTCAATACCAATTCGATATGAATCCAGCTTTCTTTGCTTTTTGCTGGTTATTAAAGCCAGAAATATATTTTAGATATTTTTCTTGCAATAATTATGATTTAGTGATACTAATTAACCCATAGCTGGAGGAAGAAGACGTGTATTCTTACCCCTCCCAAGGGTACTTGCGTGTAAGTAAATACAACTAGCTCAGCGGGAATTGGAACTTGGTTCTGCGATTAACAGTTCCGAATCATTGTCCATTACACCACCAGCACATCCAAGCTTACAGCATCTGGTATTTCCAAGTGGTCTCCCATCTAGGAACTGACTGGGCTCGATGTTGCTTAACTACGGTCATCGTAATGGAAATCGTCTCTCCAATTAATAATTACGAGTCATTATCCATTACACCACCAGCACAGCCAAGCTTACAGCTTATGATATTCCCAAGCGGTCACCCTTCTCGGTAGTGACCAGGCTCGACGTTGCTGAACTTCGGTGATCGTACGGTAAATCGACTCTCCAATTAATAATTCCGAGTCATTATCCATTACACCACCAAGCTTACATCACCTGCTATTTCCAAGCAGTCTCGCATCTAGTTACTGATCAGGTTCGACATTGCTTAACTTCGGTCATCGTACTGAAAATCGGCTCAACAGTTAATAATTCCGAGTCATTATCTATTACACCACCAGCACATCCAAGCTTACAGCACCTGGTATTCCTAAGTGGTCCCCCATCTAGATACTGACTAGGCTCGACGTTGCTTAATCGTACTGCAAATCGGCTTCTCCAATTAATAATTCGGAGTCATTATCCATTACACCACCAACACATCCAAGCTTACAACACCTGGTATTCAAAAACGGTTACCCATCTAATTACTGACCAGAATCGACGTTTCTTAACTCCGCTGATCGGACAGCAACCTGTAGTTTTCAAGGGATTCAGGAATATTATCCACATATTTGTTTTCTCCTCTTGACATAATTTCTAAAACCTCAATAACAACAGTTAACATTGTGATGCCATATTCTACAGATTTCTATGTCGATGTATTTGTATTCAAATAGTTTCTCATTATCATCATTATTATTATTATTTTCTTGGGTTTATGTTGTATACAGATTTCCTTGCGGGTCCCAACCAGAGACCTAAGGTCAGAAATGGCTTCATGACATTTTCCACTGATCATTTTTTTTCCGTTTTATATAGATAAAGCTCGTCGTAATCTGTGACCACTACTTGTGAGTACAGTTTTTTTAAAAATATATTTTAAGGCATGGACTGTCAGTAATCCCTTCAATGAGTATCGGAAACTTTTCCAATCAATCCAATGGCTACATGGAATTATTGCTGTCCTCATGTGCCACATCATTTTTTTTTTTAGATTTCCGCATCAAGATCCTTGTATTTTGATAGGTTTTGAAGACCTTCAAAGATACATTAGAATCTACAGGATTTTCTATATCAATAAGAAATCCCATTCTGTTCTTGTGGTCATTAATCATGATGTCTGGGCAATTAGTTTTGATTGTTTTGTCTGTGTGCATTGTAAAGTCCCATAAAATTCTTAAAGGTCCCAACTCTGTAACCGGGTCATAGGTAATGTCCATACTACTTTCTTGCAGTTTCCTTCCCGAAAAAGTGATATATTTTCCAATGCAGATATTGGCCTATTGTATCATGCCAAGTTTTATATTCAGTGGATGCTAACACTGAACAACTTGATACAAAATGGTCATTTGTTTCTATGTACTTATCACAGAATCTGCACTTGGGGTCAACACAAGTTTTCAGTATGTGTCCTTGGTAATTTCTAGTAAGCAAACTGATCCTGTGCAGAAAGAATAAAACATTATTATTATTATTATTATTATTATTATTATTATTATTATTATATATTGAGTGTATCTTGATACTATTAGGAGGACTTTACCTTCTTCTCTGGAATTTTCCCAATCTAGCCTTACATGGAAAAAGTTCTTAATGTGTGGGCTGTACTTATAAAAACGATGTTTTGTATTTCTCTGAAGCTGGGATTTCCAGGAACTTTTTTTTAATGTGTTGTTGTGTTCCTTTTTTTATAATTCCAATCGCACCTACAATAACTGGTACTATTCTTGTTTTCAATTTCCACATTTTTTTTTTCTTTTTCGATTTTCAGGTCTTTATAATTTTATAATTTATTATTATTATTATTATTATTATTATTTTATATTGAGTGTATCTTGGTACTATTAGGATGACTTTACCCTATTCTCTGGCATTTTCCCAATCTGTGAATCTAGTTGAGATCAATTGCTGATCTTTTCAATTTGTTTTGCTTTGCTATTGCAGTCAGCAGGTTTGGCCACATCATTTATTTGACATTAATCTTCAGTTAAATTGAGGTTGGCTATATTTGATCTTCAGTGATCAATAACTCGATTTGTTTGAAACTCATAATCACAGACTATGTTTGTCTTGCCTTTTTTGTCCATTACTCTGAATATTACGTGTTTGTGCCGTTTTTCGAGCACGATGTATCAATATTTTTAGTATTTATTTATTTTTTGCTCAGGAGCCAGTGCAAGTTACGGCAAACTCGGTTATGTCGTCTTTTGTATGCTGTCTGTATCAGTATTTTACAACCATTGATTACATTATTATTATTATTATTATTATTATTATTATTATTATTATTGTGCCAGCGGATTAAGAGGGCTACGCATGAAGGACATGCTACAGAAGGCGCCACTCGAAATTATAACAGTGTCAGCGGCAGCCCGTTGCAGTTTCATAACTGGATTCTGCATCTCTCATTCTATATGTACCGTAGAGGAAGGTTATGATATCAAGTATGTGGGTCACTGGATAACAAGTTGAAGCGCACCTTGAAAAACTTCACACCATCGTCACCATCATATACTTTGATTTTCTTTCACCTCAAACCGACTCTTGCAAAGACAAACGGCGATAGGGAATGGATGACAGGTGCAGGTTTTGGTGAAGTTGGACGCTTCTAGTCCTAAACCTTTCCGTTGGCGGTGGTTATACTCAGGAATGTAATCGTTATAAAGGAAATGATCAGCAAAGAAGAAATTACATTCTTGGATACGCAATAAAAGCCGACGATGATTATTATTATTATTATTATTAATATTCTTTTTATTATTATTAATATTCTTT